GCACTTAAACTACTAGCAAACTGGTGCGAAACAATGGAATAGCTATCAACACAGCGAAAACTGCATTCCAAATTTTTTCTTTGGCCCGTCACAGCATAAACCTGCTTCTAAGGTACAAGGATACTACCATATAAAAAACCAATGAGCTCACATATCTTGGAATGACTCTTGACACAAAGCTAACGTGGAAAAGTCACATTGCTAAAATNAACCAAGCAAACGTTAGTGCAGGTGTCTATTCCGAACTCTTCTCTTTCTACGCAGCAGTGGGACACAATAGATCCGCTTTCGAAGGAGAAATAGAGGCCATTAGGATAGCACTAAGCCAATGTTGCCTGGATACGAAATTCAGCAAAGCGGTGATATTTTCGGACGCACAGTCAGCAATAAACTCAATTGGAAACAGGGAGCCTCCCAAAACAGTTGAGATAAACGAATATAGAAAACGCTATCAGCTGCTGGGAGAGAAAAACAAAACAGTGGTTCTACAATAGATTCCTAGTCACTGTGGCATTAAAGGCAATGAACGTGCTGACACACGTTCTAAGAAGAGGACAACGATTTTGCAATGCATGGACCGCCCGATGTCTTTCCACACAATGAAGGCCTTAATCAGGAGAGAATTCCAGACCTCAAGGTGCAACGAAATTAAAGCTCGAACAAAGGAGAAACAGTGGACAGTGGCACTCTCCAACATAGCCGACTGGCCAAGAATCGAAGCCGTTGCTGAGTTTAGACTACGTACCGGACACGATTGCTTGGCAAAACACCTTCACAGATTGGGAGTATACACCCAACCCACATGCCCCCTATGTAACCTAAAGGAGGAAATGGAGAAGACCCACCTGATTCGGTGTCCAGCCCTAAAGACAAGGACGGAAAGCCAGAGATACTGGGAAGCAAGAAGACAGCTAATGAACTGCTATTAATTAACTGCTATAAATGTACCCCCACCCTTGGGGGAAGCTGAAGTCAAAGTTTAAGGGCTAATGATAAATATCATAAAGCCTGCCATTTGAAATAAATAAATAAATGTTTCCGAAATCAGGGGAGCTTCTTTTTAATTACTTTCCTTATCATCAATAGACTTTGAAATCAATTCATCTTGCGAATTAGTTGCATTCATTCCAAAATATTGATATTTACATGAGTAGATTAAACAATGAAATATGTGGTACGAGTTATTATATATATTCCTAAAGGAAATAATAGATTTGCGTAATCCATTAGGTCAACGACATGTACTATGACCCAAAAGGTCTGAACTGGTCCGATAGCCTCACGCACAACCAGTTCCTTTTTGGCCTCCAATGGGTTACTTTCTTCATCACCTGGGCAGACATTTAATGCCGTTATCTGATTCGCTACTTGAAGGCCAAGGCGGATTGGCTAGAGATTTCAGGTTGAAAGCAAGGCCATCGGCTTATCAATTGTTGAGTGAAATTGGGCGTTTTAGGACAGCCTTAATTACAGGTAAGCTAATTTTATAACCATAAAACGGGGTGTGCGATAGACTTACCTCCACGTGGTGCACCCTGGGCAACGTATACTCATACGGCAAAAAAGTCTATTAACCGCCAGTTGACTTCAGACTCCAAACTACCATCACCCTACTGTATGTCAAATTCGACTACTTCACAGTACTCACCTCACTTTTTTTCCAACTTCGTGTCTGTCTCTTTTACATCTTTGAAACACTCTTCTGTCCTCCTCTCGACTTTTTTCGATTTGATGTTCCTCTCCCTCTGTGAAGCCTGAACCCATCTCGACCTTTTTCACTTTGATGTTCCTTCCCATCTATTAAAATACCTGCCATTTAATATAAATAAATAAATATCCATAAAACTGTTAACTCTTTAATCTACTTATATTTCATTAATGAAGTCAAGTTATAGCCACGGAAATAAGGTGCTTTATGTTCCAAATAAAGATATTAAGAAATCAACTACGTGCCAATTTAATTATTAAATAATAATATTCACGCATTTTAGAAACAAGCTCAGTGATTGATAGGGTGATGTCATTCCCATTCGCTTAGTTTTAGTCAAAGGACGCTCAAATCGGTCAAAATAAACCAAAGCATATACAGAAGCATTCCAACCTGATAATTTCACCGCATTTTCTGACCATCAAAGCAGATCTGGGTCAAATTAATTCAATTCCGCGAGTTTTGAGAAGAGCTCTCAGTCACTTTTGCCAGTTAGTTAAGTTGGAAGAAAGCGTGTTAACTTGGAACAGTCTTAAAATTCTGGAAGAAAATTCAACAATGTAAGCAGGAAAGAGATGATAGAATCATTCAGCAAAACATTTCCTACGCATTGCACACATACGAGAGCCGTGCCCATAATTGCCCAGAGTCAAAGTGAAATAACATCCCCCCCCCCCCCCCACAAATCCCCAAAACTGTGGAATACTTACGGAAGATAAAGTGGAAACCTTCGGAAAAGATATGGATTATGGGTCTCCTACCTGCTAGTTGCTTCACTTTCTTTGCAACACCAAAGTTTGTTGAGCCTTAGGGCTGCACCATCAAGTTGCGCTAAGAGGGACAGTGATCAAAATGCCAATCCGACTACTTTGAACAAATGCCATTTAGCTGCGCACAAGCATATTCGCGACAGTTCATTTAATTTCAACTTAGTCTTGAGTTTATTCATTTTAAAATGGATGAAGCAATGCAACCTAATTGATCAACTATCTTACTCCTTGTGTTTGAAAGGAAGAATGTAAGTGTGATGCTTTTCCCATTGACAAAAATAGCGCGGCTGCAAAAAGTACGAAAGTTGCCCAATTGTTGCTCTAAGGCTAAAATCGAGTGTTAAGAGAAGGATATAATAAGAAAAGCATGCAGTGGGTATTCATCAAAACCCGAGTTTGGTGACACGACTCTATCCTCTTTATCATATACAATCTTTTTTAAAAGAGAAACAACAGTTTGCAATTAATTTAATTATTTTTATTTTACCGATCAGGTAAGCCATATAATGTGCAAGATCTTGCTCTTGATATGGCCTTAGGGTTCTCTATTCAAGGAGGGAGTTTCTTCATATGCTTCATCTTCCCCTCTTAAAACTATGTGCTCAATTTTTTTCTTTCTCCTTGAAGCTTGGACCAAAGGCAGTTCCTGTGACTGCAATCGCATAGGACATATTTGTAATTTGCATAAAGCATGACAACTTTTCTCATTAAGGGTTATTCGAAAGGCGGATTTTTTTGTTTCCTAATGGAACTGGTTCAATGTCCCATAATATATCACTATTGGAAGCAATATTTACAAAGAGAAGTTTTGGAAGTTAATAATCGATTTAAGTACAGATTTTCACGAAAATATTATTCAGAAAAAAACTTTAATCAATTTAAAGGAATTTATTGGATACAAAAGTGTAATCAACTTCTTTTACTAAAACCCTCTATAATTTTATAAACCCCGGTTATTAAGTACTAAACACCTGATTAGCATGAATAATTCATATTATAATGACAATCCTGAGATAAAGAAATAATTTAACGGATAATACATGCTCTAGTGGGCTAGCAGGAGCTACTGGGTGTACAGAATAAGGTTGATTGAGTAGTCAAGGTTTCACTGGTTAATTAATTATTTTCAAAATAGGCCCATTGCACAGCTGAGATTAAATCAATTCTGATTTAAGTTATCGAAAAACGACCTATACCGGTAATAAGGAAGCTAATATACATCTTCAAACATAAATACGCCCGTCTATGTCTTATTCTTCTTTAGGCTATACCACGACTACTAATTTTAGTGAATTATAAATCATGGTTTATCGATATGAATATCTATTCAAATGGCAGTATTCATGAAGTGGCACTCATTATAAAGCTCGAGAGACTCAATGGAATAAAAAAATAACGAAGGAAGTAGATCATGTGGTTGCCTACTTAAACGATCTGGAAGGAGAGTCGCTTATAAGGGGACCACTTTGGCTAAGGATCATGACGGCCAATTCTTGTTATGATACATAATCGATACACTTCGGAGTTGATTATTAAGAGAAACTTGATTACAAATTACCTAAAATATTTTAAGTTCTTGGTGGGAATGGAGAATAATACAGGGTCCTAGGATTCAAGAGTACGTTCCAAAAATTTATAACCCTTCTTTCGTAAGGTTCTTCACGTATTATGCTGAAGGAAGTAGTTTCCTCGGTACTCGCTTTGAATGGAGAAGTGGCATTGTGCAGTCCTTCTGATGAGAAGAAACTAACCTATCACCACCCAAGTAACCAGTTTTAAGCGGTAAGTTTGATCGGCCTTATGATTTTGTTTCATTGACTTCTATTCTATAGGTGTATATATTCCAAATCCTTAAAGATCTATTTTTCTTATTTCGGTAAAATTGTATGTTCCATTGCCCTTCAGTAAATAAAAGCGTTGAGTTAACTTTTAGAGTCGTGCACGACAATTGTAGCCTAAACATAATTGACGTATCGGTGCTGAACCATCTGCAGTGTTGGGGTCGTGTCAAAAACAAATGAATCCAATTTCCACCATCAACTAAGTGTTACTAGACTAGAATCCAGATCTAAACATTTCCTTGTGAATGTATCCCAGTATATTTTCACTGGCTCTTCCCAGATGTACATTTATCTCAACGCGTTAATGTGGTTGGGGAGACAGGACCCACCAACCGTGATCGAATATCGGCTTTTATTTTATATTATCGATCTCTAGAACTAAGACGATCGATGTACTATTGACACAAGAGGTGACAATCTTTACACCTTTCGAATTAGGATAAAAATAAAACCCCTGTACATTAATTGAGAATCTCCAGTATTTGTCTTGAGATTGGCAGGAACATTCTATGCACTCATGTACGTGAATTGATGCAACTTGAACATGCTACAAAATAAAGCAGTTATTTTTGCTTAAAAACGACGACTTCGAGTAGAGTTGTTTATGTGAACAAGTGTTCCGCGCTTGCTATATGCTGATTTAAATATACCATCACACAGTTTACGACAGTTAATTGCAGAATGCGACATGGTGGAACATCGTTCGTTCTAGCATTGATGCTTCTCTACACTCCCGTTATAAGTAAGGTATAGAGAATGCGCGTTATTTGCAAGTTTAACCATTTTAATAATTACTCTCTCTCTGACATACCATTGTACCCAAATAATTTTTCATTATTTCGATTAAATTCCACCTTTTCGCGATCATTTCTTTTATAGTCTGAATATTAGCCACTTACACAATGTTTCTTTTTTGCTCTCCTTTTTCAAAGAAAGAAATTGGGAAGCTCTACTTGGCATTTGATTACCGCAATCCCAGTGAGAGTCTTATTGATGGTGATAGATGTGACTTCTTGCTCGCATGCGATGTCTACTTCTCCATTTGTGTCCAGAGTACTGGAAGCACGTGAGAACATTTTATAGATAAGTATACGACTATTAAAAATGTAGTCATATTTATTTTCAAAATATTTGTTTATATATATATATATATTTATTTATTTATTAATCAACATTTTAAATTATAGAAAAGTTTTCCTAACACACCGTAAAATCGTCATTTGTATTAAAAATATTACAAAAAGCGTTACGTTCCCTATTTTCCCTTCAAATTTTCTTTATTAAGCAAATGTGTTTTACTTCTGTCATTCTTTAATCCTAGACCATGCAACATATATAGAGGCGAAAGCAGAGTTTATGAAGATGTAAATGAAATCAACTCTACTGAAATGGAAAAGATCGTGATACCATTGAACTCACCTATCGGAGTACGTTTTTTCTGTCATTTCAATCTTAACAACTGATTTTAATTTATACGAGACTGAGTCCAGTGGACCTTCTCAAGTAGATATTAACTACTAGCAGTAACAATCTGTTTATTCACTGAGTCAGATTACATTTTATTGATTCGAAATGTGGACACGTTACTTAGCATCACCATACATCGCCTGTTTCTTGATCCTTCAAAGGTGAAGAATTGCTATTTTTAATATCTGAAGTATTATGGTCAATGCTTTAACAAGGGTGGAATAAATGAAGGCTAAAGGTGATTTAGAAGATCACTGAACTTCTTTACACTAATCTCTTCCCGAGCGTCAAAAGAAAGCATTGTACTCTTACCGACAAGCTTTCTTAGAGAGTATCTTTGGCATAAAATTTCACCATCTTAACATGACGCTTCCTGAAACTTACTTTCGCAGTTTGAGATAGGGGGGGGGGACTTAGTCGGCTACCTTCTTACCCTGACAGAAATTTCAGCTTATTTAATTTAATAATATCAATGAAGGAGAGGTTTGAGGGTTGGCAGACGGACTTTTCATTCATATCATAGGCTTATTCTTAATGTTAGGCTATCCGTAGCACTGTAGAGAGCTTAAAGCCTATTTTTATCAGAACACTTGGGGCAATTGCGGAATAAATAGGATATTCGTGCATTGCAAGAGAGTTTACAGTAATATTAACACAACATTCATAAAACATTTATTTATTTATATCAAATGGCTGGCGTTTTGATAGTTATCATAAGCCCTTTAGTTGACTTCAGGCTCCACAGAGGGGAAGGAACATCAAAGTGGAAAAAAGTCGAGAGAGAGAGGGTGGAACAGAAGTGTTTCAAAGATGTAAAAGAGACAGACAGACGTGAAGGTAGAGAAGAGGTACGATGAGTACTGTGAAAGTGGTATAATATGACATACAGTGGGGTGGTGGTAGTTAAAAGTCAGAAGTCAGGTGCCAGTTAATAGATTTTTTTGCCGTATGAGTATACGTTGCCCAGGGTGCACCATGTGGAGGTAAGTCTATCAAGCAATAAGTCATGATTACTAAATTTGTAAGGTGCCATTAAGACAATAAAAAGGGTTACGAAAAATAACATTGTTTCCTTAGTAGAGCTGATTAGTAATGAGAACCTCAGAACCATTTGATTGAGAAAATCATCAATAACATACAATTAAAACGCATAAAAATAAAATGTGTTCGAGATAAACGACACTTCATTATAGATGTTGCTTATCGACACCGAGAAAATTAAATTAAAATTACATCTAACACTTTAATTAACGTTTAACTTGGTTGAAATTAGTTATTGGTGTAATCCGCAAAACAACTAATTTCAAATACTCAAAAATTTTGGCCTAAATAAAAGTGGCTAACACCTTCTATGGAGTGGTGTTCTTCAAAGTTCATCTTCTTTGTTAAAGCTTCTAGTAAAAAACTCATTGTGTTGTTACTATTGGTCAGTTTTCCTGTTTAACGATTGAACACAGGCTGATATCAACTCAATTCAACTTAAGATTGCCATTCAAAGCCTTATTCCAAAAAGAGACCCCTTCACTCTTCACTTTAGACCAGCTTAGAAATAGGCATCGATATATGGGACTATGATGGCATTGATGCTTCCGATTTGATAGCCCATTTTGATGGAACGTTCCAGACAAAATCGCTTTCTTTACAATGGACTCCAGTCCCAATAAATCGAACCGACTTCATCTACCTAAACGATGTCACGTGAGTATATGCTTACTATAATGGGGTTAACGTTTCAAATCGGAAGATTTTCTTTCAGCATTTATACTGTGTGGAGAGAAGGCATTCCAAACCTCAGTTCAGCTGACAGTCGGACTATCGACTTGACTGCCTTTAGTAATTCTAGCATTCATCCCGATCGATACTGTTATTGGAATTGAAAATTTGAGATTCACCATCTTAAAATCAACTCCAACAATAGATAATTCCAGGTTAAACTACTTTTTAGTTATTAATCATTTAAACAAAAGCAAACATGATGAAGCTGTTGAATGCAATTTTATTTGTTTATTTATTGAGTTTGTTAAAACAAATTCATATTATTGCTCAAATTATAATGGTTCAAATTCAAATGTCTTTACTGATTTTCGTCAAAGTAACTTACAATATTTGGGATGCACTTCCGTTTTCGAAATCCCAGAAAATGAATTGAGCAATACGTTTCAGCCTCAATGGATCTGCCCGCCTTGAATGCCCGGGAGGATCTTGTATTAATTTTTGTGTTCCAAGAGAAGGAGTCAATACCTGTGATGCAGAAGGCAACAGGATATGTGTAAAAGGTGCGTCAAGACAACAATTAAATACTTGTCTATATAGCTCCTGGGTTTCTGCAATTGAATAAGTTCATTTTTACTCTTTTCCCCTTTCTGATTCCATCTCACTCTGCTTACTTGTGGGATAGTTCAGACATTATCTACTGATCGTTTTTAAACACAGGTCTTGGCTCAGGGAAGTCATTCTGAAATGGCTCTTCTGAAAACCTTATGGAATAGTCCAACCAATGTGGTTAAACTTTTCTTTCTTCCCAAACAGGTGTTATCACATCATTTGACCATTCTTTCTTTATAAAAACGTATTTTGAGGAGTTCTATTCCACGTTACAAGATATAACCACTTCAAATAACAATCTGAAGATATATCAATGTGAGAGTGACTGGTTGGTTTCAAATTGAGATAAAATAAGAACGAATATTGATTGGCATTAAACTGTGGCCAGTCACAGTCACTCTCACATTCATATATCTTCAGATTATTATTTGAAGTGGTTATATCTTGTAACGTGGAATAGAACTCCTCAAAATACTTTTTATAAAGAAAGAATTGGTAAAGAAATAACTAGCTCTCTTCTAAAATAACCCCCTAAGTTTTTTATGATGATAATTATTTTTAAAATTATGACTTCTTCGCTTAGGATTGACAGGTCCAACATGTGACCAAATCGATTATTGTGCGGAGAATAATTGTGCTGACTATGCTACCTGCCAATTATTCACAAACGGTTATAAATGCGTTTGCGGTGCTTATGAAGGTACGTTTGTTTATGTGGCTTTTCCACTCACTTCACGTGGCTATCAGTCACAAATGTTCCATGAATCGGTTCTCAGGTACCAAATGTGAAAAGGGTTATGACCCTTGCCAACCCAAATCACCATGCGGGCCAAATGGACAATGCAAGGCAGTGGGACCAGACTATGCGTGTGAATGCTTGACTGGATGGGGAGGCCAACATTGTGATCGGCCGGATTCAGAATGTGAGAGCCCTGGAAGCAGATGTGAAATGACTGATGTGAGTCAGCGTATCTTATAGACCCATTATATTTGTTAAGAATATCCTGGACTAACTTTTGGACCCTCTGACCTCAAGAAAGGAATGTATAAAGATGCTCATTTCCGGTGAAGATATGCAGCACCCTTGATATTATGTCCTTTGAAAATTAGGTATTTGTAATTGATTTGCAGCATATCTACTTCTAAATAGGTTCTTATGAAATTTACTATCAGGTAGTTGTTATCAAATAAAATCGTCAAATATTTCCACTAAATGAAATTCTTATTTTTTATTCTCTTCCTTCTATTAAGGACAAGAAAACATTGACCAACGTACTTTTTGAGTGAAATGCTATAAATTGCGCTTGGTTGTATATACCTCGAATTTAATTGTATTTAGTTCTGTTGACTCGACGGGAACTTGTATTTTCCCTTTTTTGCTAGAATATCATCTTGTAGATCAGTCTTCTACTGACCACATTTCCGTAAACTTTATCTTTCTCTATGACAAAACCCTTTTTCAAATTATTCATCAATTTCTTCAAGGCTAACCTACATTTACACTCTTTACTTTGCTAGATACCACACAGAGATGTCCGCTTCGAGCTCTCGTAGTGCAGCGTTCATGTCACGTGACCCGACTAAATTGCATTTTTTTGTCTGTTTTAAGATTCGTGGAACGCAATGGATTTGCCAGTTTTCAATCTAAATCATTTCTATGTCCAAGCGGAGCACCCCTTTTAATAGGAATTAGAGCTAATTTTCTCAACAGATTGTACTTAGTTGAATTTTTTAGTAAATATTAATTTATTTATATCAAATGGCAGGTGTTTTGATGGTTATCATTAGCCCTTTAGTTGACTTCAGTCTTCACAGAGGGAAGGAACATCAAAGTGAAAAAAATCGAGAGGGTGGGGGAATAGAAGAGTGTTTTATAGACGAAGGTAGAAAAGGTTGGAAAAAGGTGAGGTGAGTACTGTGGAAGTAGTCGAATATAAAAAGGTGAGGTGAGTACTGTGGAAGTAGTCGAATATGGAGACACAAAGGTAGAGTGAAAAAGATGAGGTGAGTACTGTGGAAGTAGTCGAATATGGACCAGTGCAGTGGGGTGATGATAGTTTGAAGTCAGAAGTCAACTCAATGGGGTGATGGTAGTTTGAGGTGAGAAGTCAACTTCCGGTTAATGGACTTGTTTGCCGTATGAGTATACGTTGCCCAGGGTGCCCCACGTGGAGGTAAGTCTATCGCACACCCCTTTTTATTAACTATAAAGAAAATGCTGTTGTAACTAGTAATTAACTTTCTTGATGCGACAGTATTAGTCTTCCAGTAGATGTTAAAATGACTAGGCTCAGTAACTACACAAATGGATATTTCAAAATTACTGATTCCTTGTACTCTAAAGTATACTTAAAGGTACAATTTTATCGTTTGAGGGAATAATACATGGCCACCAAAGGTATTTCACTCACATGTTTAAATAATGCAATTCTTATGAGGTATATATTGTGCTTATTTTATCATTATAATAGCAGGGATAAATTCGTGTGGACAGTGTTTCCATTCTTCCACCTGAGTGAAATTGGGAAAATGTGAAGGTTCTACAACTGTGTCGAAGTTGGCATTGTAGCGGTGAATTTTAAATCTCCACCCATGATTTATGCAGATAATTACTACCTCCTCCCCACGACATTAAAAAATATGCATTCGGCATCTGCATTTGTAGATTTGTGCAGAAGAATATTGTTCGGGTCACGGTGTCTGCATTTTCTACAGTAAAAGTAAAGTGAAATTCCACTGTCAGTGTGATACTGGATGGGCGGGCGAGACGTGCAAGTATCGATCACAGTCTCCTTGTTATAAAGCCAGCCAGAAACTCCCCGCCAATCGGTCAGCGGTCTGTCTCCATGGCGGTGAATGTGTCGATAGTCCAAATGGAGTCGATTTTAGTTGTAAGTGTCAATTGGGGTGGCTTGGATCGCAGTGTGAAGTCTTCTTTGTATTTGTAAGTCTTTACGTTCGAATCTGATCCTTCACTCTATTTCTATCAGGAGACAGATGTGACTGATATTTAGATACAGTTTACATTTTGACATAAAATTGTGATGGTTTTTAATCTTTTTTTCTTTTCTAGTCTTTTTACTTCATAGTATCCGTATTGATTGGAGCTGTTGCCTTCCTCTTAATACTGGTATTATGCCTCTGGAATGTCCGAAAGTGAGTGTATTTCCTTGTACTTCATGAAGAACTTGTCGCTTCAGACGTAGACAATACTTTTGAGCATTCGGGAGGAAAAATTAAATTAACATTATTTATTTTATTGGATCCAAATTACATTAGTATATGGGTTAGCCAGAGGCACATTACGTAAATAATTTCAGGAAATAATTCCCTAGATTCCTGGTATTTGTTTGTTTTTTTTGCGGTGTTTATCAATAACTAACTTGTAAGAATGTCCATTACATCTCGACAGACTAGTAAATTTGGTAACTAAGACCGTAGGAAATCTTACAGCATCGATGCCGAACTTATTGCAACTAGACTCTAGGGGGGGGAAACCAAGAGTTTGAGCAAATGTGTATTGGACAAATGTGAATGAATTAGAATTAAAGTAGTGGAAGCGCGATTCGGAGGAAAGGACAATGTGTCAATGCTGAATGAGTATAACTCTCAGAAAAAGCAGATAATAACAAAATTAGTTAGGGGTACCCATCGCATTTTCATAGACACAGAGCGGTTGTTTGCTATAAACCTATATTTATACTCTATTGTGAGCTTCGTTTGTGTGTCGTAGTATCTAATTCTTTTAATGTAGATTTCATGCATGCATATATTCGTTTGTTTAACTTTAAGGCGTAAATCAAGAGAAGGAACAGCACCAATGGTTTATACATCAACTCCCTTGACAAAACGTTCCACTGAAAATCCTGCTAACTCACTTATCATGCCGTATGCAATTTATATAGCAAGCAATGTAAGAAATGCCAGGGAAAATAAAGGAGACGAACCAAGGGTCTTCCGGAGACCAACTTCGCCGATAGTTAGCGAACAGTCGAGCGGCCCTGCTCTTCCACCAAGGAACCGACTACTGGAAGCATCAACCAGTGATGAACAACTAGATCATTGATCTACCCTATTTTAAAAGACGGAAATGTTTGATATTCTTGAAACCATTTTGAAATAGAAATGTTACCAAAAGTAGTTTTAATTTTGTACATTACCCGGATATTGTATAATAATTTATTTATTTACTTCAAATGGCAGGCTTTATGATATTTATCATTAGTCCTTAAACTTTGACTTCAGCTTCCCCCAAGGGTGGGGGGTGCATTTATAGCAGTTAATTAATAGCAGTTCATTAGCTGTCTTCTTGCTTCTCAGTATCTCTGGCTTTCCATCCTTGTCTTTAGGGCTGGACACCGAATCAGGTGGGTCATCTCCATTTCCTCCTGTAGGTTACATAGGGGCATGTGGGTTGAGTGTATACTCCCAATCTGTGAAGGTGTTTTGCCAAGCAATCGTGTCCGGTACGTAGTCTAAACTCAGCAACGGCTTCGATTCTTGGCCAGTCGGCTATGTTGGAGAGTGCCAC